TAATAATAATAATAATAATAATAATAATAATAATACCTCACTCCTCTGACTAGCAATCAGGGAGGCTAAAAGAAGGCCTAAATACCCTAAAAGCAGCTGATCTTGCCTTATCTTTTCAAACCCTGGTTAGCACTTGGATGGGAGACTGCTCACAAATTCTAGGTGCTGTAGGTTACATTTCAGAGGAAGGAACCAGCAAACCTATCTCTGAGTATTCCTTGACATAAGAAAACCCTATGAAATTCATGGGGTGCTATAAGTCCACAGGCAACTTGAACACACACACACACACACACACACACACACACACACACACACACACACGAGTCCTACTGTACAATTGTTAATAGTTCAATTATTAACTCCCAAGCTGAAAAACAAGTTTCCCAATAACGGGTGACCCTTTTGGCAAATGAACATTTTGTACAATCTTCCCCCGGCATTCAGTGTTCTGAATGTTAGTCAGGAGTTATTCTGCAGAACAAAGCACATGTGTTTTTTTTTTTTTTAAATGCAAATGCCTGTTTTCTGAATTTTTTCTTTCTTTGCAAATGATGGGGATTTTTCAGACAGAAATCCAACATGTGTTTTGTGTTGCAGAGTAATTCCTCTGCGACACTTTGGGACACTGGAATACAAGGAAAATACTACCGAGGGATATTTGTTTTCCTGTGCAATGGGAAGAAAACTACTGCAGTGATTTATCCCCAAATAACAGGATAAAATGATTTAAGATTTTTATCTCTAGTTCAGGACTCTGAAGTTTAACAATAGCCTTTTCCCCATATAATGTCTCCTTCACCTTCAAAGACAAGGAATCTCCTCCTTAATGTTCCCCATTTGTGTGACTGACATTCTTTTAGCTTCCCTTAACTTCCCTTGATATCCCACCTCTAAAAAAAAGGCATCTCATCCTTTTCCATCATTTATGTTCTGGGAAAAATTGGTAGTAACCCATTGTTAGGATAAATGCTCTTCAGGGGAATTTATAATTAGCTCAAA